TTTTCTACACGATTGTCCTTGGAATAGATTTTCATACCTTTAACTGAAACATTTACTCTTGGAATGAATGTGAATCGATCTTGTCGTCCATTCAGTTCACCAGTAACTCCAAGCCGATATGATCCAGAATCAGACTCTTTCAGATCATTAATGATGATGCTGCAGTTGTTCTGACTCACATCAGGCTCCAAGCGTGAGACTCGTCCTTCAAACCCAGACTGAGCTTTTTTGTCTGTGTTTTTGTTGCTGTGAAATATTATGTCAGCATCACTGCAAAATTTTTGAGATGCTTCACATTTGTACCAAACTATATGTTTGGGTGTAAAGCCATCAGCAGTAGTGAAAGAACACGGGATCACAACACAGAGTCCAGCTTCTGCTGTTAGTTCCCGCCCAGTGAGATTAATACAGTATCCTTCGTCGTAACAGTGTTGTTGTGCCCAGGCTGAGGCACCTGTTAATGCAAAGGGAAAGATAAATATAGTGATAAAGAATATTTAGTTTACAACAATAAACATGATGTCTAATTAAAGATATTGAACTTTTATCTTTTACACGGGCTGCTTGTTTGTGCTGTACTCCACAACTACTATAATGTTCTCATGTCACAGCTTATTATATCCAGGCTATGGAACCTCCCTGGATGTGCATCAACAATATCTCGGAGCACGTTTAACAAAACATTAGCCAACAGATGATAGTAAAGGCACAAATTTATGATGAACTGTGGGTAATAAAAAATTCTTATAATCTGGATACATTTCAGAAAAAGAGTGTTACATGCAAATATTTTAAAAAGTCAAATACAAATAAATATAGCAGAATTACAGTAAAGGAGAAGATACAAACCCGTGTCAGCAATGTTTCCTTTTACAGAGACAAACAGAGCCGACCAGATGAGAACAAACATTTTCGATGCTCGAGACGTTCAGTCTCTCCCTCCACAGAATAACTTATCCAGCAGATGAAGCAAACATGCAGAAATCAAAACAAAGAAAGAAAAAGTCAACAATTCAAATCACAGCTCAATAAAAGATGTTGCGTGCTTAGCTTTGAGACAAAACGATGTGTCCTTTACAAACTGTGACACATATATACCAATACTCCAGCATTCTTTATGAAAAAGACCTTTGTGACATCTGTTTCCAAATATTGTTTAAAAAATAAAAATTATCCTCACAGTGCAGCAATAGCACCAATACAATAATATAACACAATAATAATCACTTGTAATAATAAATAAATCTATATTAACTGCCAAATAAGAGGACAGAATTGGGTCAATCATACGATTTAATTAATAAATAATGGTCTTATTCACCAGCGCTTCTACATATGTGAAAAAGTCTTTACATTTCTTTTTTTAAAAAGATAAAAAGACTTTAAACCTTATTTTACCTGCTTTGCTTTGTTCTTCAAGCTTCTCTTCTCACTGATGTCTGCTGACTAAAGTTTTTCATCGTCGCCTCTCTTCTCTTTTTCTTCCTCATTCTTGCAACAAGGAAGTCTGTCAGTAAACCACTCAACTTTAAAGACTCACATTCTTGTTCCTCTGGTATAATTATAAAATGTTCATTGTTTATTAAATAATTTACCTTTTTTTTAAAACCCACTGTGTTATCTTGAGATTTGATATTCCAGTAATGATGCTCAAACAAGTTTTATATATTCATATAGCATCAAGTCATCATCATTCACCTCAAGGCACTTTACACCCTCAATATGCGTAATAAGAATATGCTTCAGCCGATACCTTTTGATTAGCCTTGTCTTTTTCTTTCACGCTTTGTGGGAGATCTTTATTCTATATTCACGGAGATATTTGAATGCAAATCAATAAATCAATATTCAATTCAATATTAGAGTAAAAAAAAGACTCGTATAGGACATAGCTTATTTTTATATTACCTCAGCTTTATACAACCCATACAGCGTGATTATATTGCTATCAAAGTACTTTCTTATTTACTCAGTGTAAAAGTTTAAATGATTGAATTAAAACATTGAATGCATTTAAGAGCTTAAGAATATTCACTTCTGCATATTTCATGTCCACATGTGCAGAAGTGTTGCAGCCTCTCTGCAAATGCCAAATATAATAAAAGGCGATAAACCACAATTAGCTTTGAGCTAAAGTTAAAATAAAAGGACGATGTGTGTTTAAAACACTGATCATTCTGTTGGAAGCAGAAAAATGTTTTCCTGTTAAGATTTAAGTTTATATTTTATATGTAATATTTAATATAATCATTAAAATTTGTTTTTTTTTACAATGATACAGAATTTCTCTGCTTTCAAATGACACTTCCTCTTTCTTATGAACCTCTACTGTACTCTGTCTTGTGATCAGTGTCAAGTAGTTTTCTCACATTGCTCAACTGCAGGTCAGAAGCTTATACTTAAATGTAAACATTTTATACCAACTCTTTCAGGTACACTTATTAATACTTCTTAATACTGTATGAAAATGTTTCCCGGGTCTCACGAACAGCCTTGTTCTGAGCTCAAATAAATGGAGGAGGCTGCACCAAATATGCTGATCACTGAGATAAAAGGGAGCTGATAAATTACATAATTACCATTAATTAATTTACATAGGCATGGTGTCACAGCTGGAAAAGCCAGAACCCGAGATGGAGCCAAATGCAGATTCAGACCATGACTCAAATTGACGTGAATAAAGTTATTTACAAGAACAAATGTAACAGTGATTAACAATAACATGGATAGGGCTATATAGAAGTACGTGGTTATGTGCAAAATAATGAACATGAACTAGAGCCAAAAATCAGGTAGAGCTAGATTCTGTGAACGTGAGCTAAGCGCTATATACAATACACATTGACTATGAACATAACTTAGGGACAGATAACCATGAACATGATGTAAAGGGGTCTCCAAATCTAGAGCTTGGAGCCAGAGAGGATATTGGATATGATGAGGGAACAGGGGTAAGTGAGCTGGAAAACAAACCCACAGAGGGAGAGCAAAATGAGAGGGGGTTGATGTGACTGATCCAAACAGGTAACATTTAACATCTTACTTGTTGGCAGGTGGAGGTACATGAAAGGAGGGAGCTAGACTGTGGAGGTCTGGGTGAGTTAGTGAACAAGCTGTACCTGTAGCTGGGATGGTAATAGGTAAGAACTAACACTGGTTAGCTGACAATCAGGTGAAGAGTAGTTGTGTGAAGAGTAGTTTCTCCAGAGGAGAGTCAAGGTCAGATTCCGCCCAGAGAAGGAGACACATAGCACTGTGAAGGACACATTGCCACTAGTTATGGGATTTCCGTCTCTTTTTAGAGAACCGGCTCTTTCGGCTCGACTCACTAAAAAGATCAGGCTCTTTCGGCTCCCAACCGGCTCTTCAGGTTGTTTGGTTGCTTTAATTAATTTTTTATTAACAACAATATAAAATTATGCACAGAAATGGGCTTCGTCCAAAGGGTGGCTACCCTCTCCCTTAGAGATAGGGTGAGAAGTACGGCCATCCGGAAGGGGCTCACAGTAGAGTAGGTGGTTCAGGCATCTAACAAAGATGCTTCCTGGGTGAGGTGTTCCACTGGGAGGAGGCCCCGGGGCAGACCCAGGCCATCGTTTGAAAACAATGTGCCCGGAGTTTGCTGTTCTCATTGCCTCAGATATTTGAAGTTTACACAGCTACATTCTCGCCTGAAAATATGTTAAAAGTTTATTTTGCGACCCAGAAAGAGTGATAAGAGTAATATTAAAACTAAGTAGCTGCAGTAGTAGCAGCCATTGTTGGAAACTGGAATTGGCTGGGCCAATCTTGGATATGGTTTTTCAATTTTGTTGTCCAAGTGGAAAATTGGGGTAAATTGGGGAGAATCGTGGCTCTGGAAGATGTTTGGGAGGGGCACTGAAATTCGGGATTATCCCGGAAAAATCTGGAGGGTTGGCACGTATGGCCTAGCATAGCCTGTAATGTTATTATGACGGACACATTTTATGAGTGAACTTGACTTTAAGTGACTTACAGGTTTCTTCCAGGTTCTTCCTTTTTGCTGCCATCGTCCTCTCCTCCTTGCGGGTCCTCGCAGCGCAGGCTTGCCACTACTAAAACTAAACAGAGCCCCCCAAAAGGCACAGCCAATCACATTGGCCATATTTGTCACATGAGGTAGGACTCCAGTAGAGAACGTAATTTAACTCTTTCTGCACCGTTAGGTGAATAAAATTTTGACAGATCGTTTTTTTTCTTTCAATCGGTTTTGTTTTTCTTTACTATAAGTTATCAAATTATTGGTGGGGACAATTCAATAATCACAGGATATTGGTGGGGACATGTCCCTTCCGTGCATGCCAAATCTACGCCCTTGGTTATAACTACGTTTAGACCACACAATCTGAGATGGAGGAAAACTTTTAACAGAGCAGGTCAGATTCAGAGTCTCACCCTTCCTCAGACTTATAATGCCAGTGAGCTTTATATCTATGAGCAGACCTATGAGAGAAAAAAGGGACAAACTGACAATCACATAACTTCCATAACTTTCTCATTTTTTCATCAAGATAGAAAAAAAATATTAAATAGTAAAAGCAGTCACAGTTCACATACATTTTTTCTTCATTTGTTTCACAAGTTAAGCTAATTTTACAGGTGGTACTGGGTTATGGTATTATGATGACCGTTAACTGAGCTGTGTATTTGTGTTTATCAACCACATAAATTTGGGTACGTTGCACAAAAAATGAGGAAATTTGTGTTTGGTTGATGTTTTCTTTGTTGTAACAATCCTTGGCAGTAAATCTTATAAACAGGCTTTCTGACTATATTTCCCCAAACATTTGTAGGCTAAGCAGCAGAGTTGAGTGTATAGATTGCGTCTATGAATAACTTGCCAAATCTTCTCTACCAAGGCCAAACAACTTATTCTGACTCAAAAATCAGCACAGAAACCTCTGACCAGCTGTGAAGTTAGTTCATGGGTGATGATATGTGCCATGGCTCTGGATCCTTTTGATCCAGATTTTTGAGTTTCATGTGTTTTAGTGATATTTTGTATAATGGTTTAGGTTTTAGGTTATTAATTAGTTTAAAGTTAGTCCGTTTTGAGTTTCTTCTATTCCTTGTTTAGTTTCTTGTTTATTATGTGTCCTTGTGTCTCTGTCCTCTGCTTCACTCTCAGTGTGTCCGTGTTGATGCATGTTTGTGTGGGTATCCTTGCGTCTTGTTATAGAGTGTCTCTGCTTTCAACTAACACTTCCTCCACAACAATGGCAAAGAGGAACAGTAGAAAAACTGTGCTATAACTGACTGACCCCAGAGAGCTAGTGAACTGATCTGAACGATAAAGAGGTAGAATAGTTGTAGCCTTGTTAGCTACAACCTGCTGAACTTACAAAGATAAAAGAAAAGAACAAAAAAAGCTCAATTTGCAGCTGTAGACAGGTGAACAATTTTATTAAACTCTATGTATAAATTGAAATAGAAAGTGTAATTTGTTACATATAAAACAATCTCATTTATTTACAATGCAATGTAAAAAATTAACAAATATTAAGCTTTAATTTAATAGCTAATTTAAATTAAAATTTCTAATACCAGAGTATCTGCTTTAATAAAGACAATGAAACTGAATTAATTAAATCACCAAAGTATTGACAACAGGCTGCAATTACAATCACACAGCTATCTGAAACCTGACTTTTTAGTTTATATGGTGTGCAATAACATCATAATCTGATGATACATCTGCTTTTTGCAGTGACATGTAGGTTCTCTCCTCCTGATGTAGGTTCACCTTTTTTCTTGAATTCCTTTAATAAGAAGAAACAGAAGCCAATTATTGTCTAAAACTCTTGACTGTATTCAAAGAGTCAAAAAAACATAAAAATACATGTGGAGAAACATACCAAAGGAACCATATGTAGGTTATGCAGAAGGCATTCAAAGTGACAGATACACCGGCAACAATCCAGGGAAGAAGTGTACTGTAAGAACCACAAAGTTTCACACGAGCTGCTGTAAGACAGAAGAGAGCACATGCACACACATATTTTATGTATCTTATATATGTACACACACACACACACACGTGGGGGCTAAAATGCTTTGGGGGCACAGACAGATCACAGATGTAACTTTAGCTTTTTTTGTAATTTTAGCGCTTCCAGGAGCCACAGCTGAGAGGCTAAACAGCCACATGTGTCCAGTGAGCTGCTGGTTGCTCTACATGTATACAGTTGTGAACATACTGCACATATTTCGTCACGTTGACTGATACAACAGTCTGTAGAATGTCGTTCAGAAATGCTGATTCAGAAATGCTGATTCAGAAATGCTGATTCAGAAATGTTTATTGTAAATATTTCCTTTGTTTGGGCTATTTTTTGTTTTTTTGTTTTTTTGATTTTGAAAGTATTTTTGGTAAAAATCGATATTAAAAACTATAAATTCTATTGGAAAAAAAATTGTGGTTATTATTCACCCAAGTCAACAAGAAAATATTCAAATTTATCTACGGAGAAAACCTGATAATAATTACTAAAGTTAATGCTGCACCTATAGCAATTCCTGACCAATGATGACTGTGATGATGACTTTTAATGACTTTAAGGAATTCCAGCCTAAAACTAGACAGGTGCTCTGCACTCGAGGGAAATAAAATGGAAAGGAAAAATAAAAAAGTTAATATCTGTGGTTTCTGAATTATAAGTAGTACATGCAAATACAGAGGTTGTGTTAAAAATACAGGACTAAAAAATCTGAAAATGTTAAAGTGGAAAGTGTTTAGATGAAAAGCACAAACCATGTTTTTTAGACAGGTTTTTATGGACTAGCAGGTTTTCTCTTTCTTCTCCATTTGCATTGTTGCTAACACATTTAACAGCGCTGTTGCCATGTTTTTTTTTACAGTTACACTGATACTGATACTGTTGTCTGTGTGATTTAATACATTGGTAATGACAGAGTACTCAGTGTGGTGATTTAACAGAGGCCATTTGATGTTAGGTAAAGGAAAGCCTTCACTGATGCACACACATGTCAAACCATCAGACTTAAGCACATATGTACACACACACACACACACAGCAGAATTACAGTAAAGGAGAAGATACAAACCTGTGTCAGCAATGCTGGCTTTTACAGAGACAAACAAAGCCGACCAGATGAGAACAAACATGTTCGATGCTCGAGACGTTCAGTCTCTCCCTCCACAGAATAACTTATCCAGCAGATGAAGCAAAAAGAAATCATAACAAAAAATAAAATAAAGAAAAAGCCAACAGTTCACATCACACAGCTCAATAAAAGATGTATAATATATATAATAAATATAAATGTATATTAACTGCCAAATAAGAGGACAGCATTACCAGCATCACCAGTGTGTGAATGGGTGGATGACTGGATGTGTAAAGCGCTTTGGGGTCCTTAGGGACTAGTAAAACGCTATACAAATACAAGCCATTTACCATTTACAGCATTAGGTCACTCATAATATTTGATTAATAAACAATGGTCTTATTCACCATCACTGCTACAGATGTGAAAAAGTCTTCTTTTAAAAAGACTTTTTGAAACTCATTAAATTTTTTTTTTTACCTGTTTTGCTTTGTTCTTCAAACTTCTCTTCTCACTGATGACTGGTCACTCTCTAAACTGAAGTTTGTCACCCTCATCGCTCGTAAAATGATTTCAGGAAGTTTCTCAGTAAACCACTCAACTTTACAGACTGACATTCAAGTTCCTCTGTATGCTATATATAATTATAACATTGTTTATTGTTTATTAAATAATTTACCTTTTTAAAACATAATGCTATCTTGAGATTTTAAGATTGCAGTAATGGTGCTCCAACAAGTTCTATATATTCATATAGCATCAAATCATCATCATTCACCTCATGGCCCTTATCACTGTGAGGTAAAGTCCGCACAAGATTAGAGTGAAAACATAACTTGTATATAACATTTAGCTTATCTTTACATTACTTCAACATCATACCACCGATACAACATCATTTTATTGCTATTTAAATGTTTTCTTATGTAGTCATAAAAAAAAGTTCCTTGAGACAGATTGAATGCATTAAAGAACTTAAGAATTTAAAATAAACTTCCCCTCTCTCATTCCCCTTATTTCTGCATGTTTAGTCATATTTCATGTCCAAATATGCAGAAGTGTTTGCTGCCTCTCTGCAAACACTTCTGCATATTTAGGCTTCTTATGTATTCATTTATATTTTTGCACCATCTCTGCTGCTCTTAGTATTGCTATGCAACTCATTTTTGGCTGTGTGGCAGGCAAGCAGAAGTGATGGACCCAAAATTGCAGGACTCTGGGAGACGGTAATCAACTGAAAACACAGCTTTATTGCTGGAGGAATGATTCACAAAATAAAACTCTAAACCGAGGTGCTGGAGGACTGGACATTACAAACACACAGCAAGTTGAGGGTACGATGCGACAGGGAGCACAGGAAAACACAGGGCTTAAGCACACAGGGGAGTAATTAGGAAATGGGCAACAGGAGGTAGACACAGCTGGGAGAAATTAGGCTAACGAGATAGGAGAAAGGTAAAACTGAACACATTGACATGAGACATGAACTTTCAGAATAAAACAGGAAACTAACAGACACAGAGAACCAGAACGGACACTGAACTTGGCAGGCAGACTCACGAGCAGACACAGTGACACCATGGACAGACAGAGGGACACAGGCAGGCATGAAACAAACACACTAACACATAGCAAACCTAAACAAAAGACAAGGCAGAATAAACAAGAATATAAAGAAACACAAAACACCGAGTCCTCAGACTCAGGACCATGACATTAATGGATTTATTAAAAGCAGGTAGTCATTATTTTTCAAAATGTTCATAAACGCCGAGATTAAAATACACATATTCATTCATCCATCCATTCTCTTACGCTAATCCTTATCAGGGTCCCAGGTGCCCTGTGGGGGGTGGCAATAAAACATATTTAGTGTTGAACTCTGTTGTTCTCAAGAGGTTTTAAACCAAGTAAATAATAGAAAAACTTGTCATTTTTATTGATCAATACTCTGGGATTGTTATTGTATAATTAAGAAGTGTTTGGGGACTTTTGTCATTAGCATTAGAACTACTGAAATTAGTTATATCAAAAGTTTTAAATGGATTATTGGTATAGAACAAATGATTCGGTCAACCTGATGATGGTGCCGGATAAAAACTGAAAAAGAAAATAAATGATCTCATGCAAAAGAGGAAAGAAATGCATTTACTTAACGAAATGACATGTTTTTCTGGAAGAATACAAAACACAATACATCGTATTACTTAAACCATTAAAAATCTGCAAAATACATCAAGAATAGAGTCAAGAAAAAGATAAGCCACTATATTTACTGCTACTACTAAATGTCACTGGGCAAGATTTTATAGTAAAGCAGTATAAGTATCTAAAATTTGCTAAACCATAACATTTTTCTAATATTTGTAATCATTAAACTACTGCAGAGCATTATATTCAAAGCTAACATTCTGTAAGATTTGATTTGTTAATATTTGTGAAGTTTACAGTATAGAGAAAATTGTCCTACAGTTTGTTATTCCAGCACAAAATGGAAATCCATCCATCCATCAATCCATCCATTACATCTGAAGAGATCAATATTTATCCTTAGCAACTATACAAAAGAATTCCTCAATTATCATCTATTATGTCATTCACAGTGGAGTACACTGCCTCATCTTCCTCATCCTTCTTTTCTGGTTCACAGTGTTTCATCTCCCCCTCCAACATTTTACCGTCGTCTCCACCATCATTTTCTTGTTCTTTTTTTATTATCCTCTTGATTTCAGCGTACTCCGTCTTTGTGCTTTCTCGCATCCTTGCTGCCTTTCTGCCGCTGTGTGTTTTTAACAGGGAAAAATCAATGGTGGCATATTTCACTTCGTTTGTCCCACTGTTTGAGTTCAGGGTCTGGTTGTTTTGTAATGCTTGACCATCATATATCTGTTAGGTACAAAGTAAATAGTTTCAGTCATTTATCAGCTACAGGCAGCCAAACATTGTGAATATTATCAATTTATCTTGTATATAGTCTTTCATGCTTCAAAGGGTTTGAGTTCTCATTGGGTGGCCTGAAAATTAGCTTTACACAAAAAAGGAACTTTGCATTACTTTAATTCTGGTTTCCATTTGTGTATTTGTTTATTTATTTTATTATATGTTTGTTTTATCATGAATATTAAAGATCAAAGTTTTACTGTAACAGAAAGTTGAGATGTCTCATATTTTAAGTCAAACCATCCTATTTGCATGGTTTCTCTCTCCATCTGTCCCTTACTGCATTGTGTTAAGCCTAGCAGAATAAAGGTGGCGACACTGGATTACCATGAGCAATGAGACTTCCACCATATGTATGTGAGATATTTGTGCTGAAATTCATTTGAACTATTTCAAGAGTTATATCAAAAAAGACGAATTAACATAAATACCAGTGGGTCATCTGGACGTGTCAGCATCACAAAAGTGTCATTCAAATGTCCAGAACTCGTCATTTCTTTCCTGTAGAAAAGGGCATATTTACAGAAACGATGTTGAAATGAATGTTAAATTGAATCTACAGAGAAACCTTAGTAATAACTACAAAAATAATTCTTTACCTGTAACACCTTTTGGCCAAAAAGCAAACACCTGAGGAAAGAACTGCACCAATCAAAAATGCAATGATAATTTCCAGAAATCGCCACCTAAGACCCGATGATGGCTCTGCACTCGAAGGAAACAACATGAAAAACCTGTTAACTCACATATTGAATTATATACAGCACACCTGATGGCTAGTCTAATGATTGTCTTAATTACATAGGTCATAGATTACATGGGTCAAAAAATGGTAGTAAAAATGTCAAGTGGTTAAAAGTGTTACAGAAAGGGTTTTCATTTAAAACAACAGCAACAACCAAACAAAACTTACCATCTTTTTTGGACAAGTTGTTATTGATCAGCAGGTTCTCTCTTTCTTCTCCATTTCCATTGTTGCTAACACATTCAACAGTGCTGTTGCCATGGTTTTTTACAGTGAGACTGACAGTGCTGTTGACTGTGTGGTTTGATACACTAGTAATGACAGAGTACTCAGTGTGGTGATTCAACAGAGGCCATTTGATGTTAGGTAAAGGAAAGCCTTCACTGATGCACACACAGGTCAAACCCTCAGACTGAAGCACACATCCTGAGCCATTCTGTATCTTTGCATGCCCTGTAAACATGTAGTCAGAATCATAAAACAGGACATGCTGCAAGCTATAATGTTAATAAACTTGAGGTTAAAAATACATGGCATCTACTTACAAGTCACAGTTACATCAACATATGATTTCAGAGTTGTGTCCAGATGTTTAACTGTACAGATGTACTGCCCTGAATGTTCTGATGTCACATTATGGACGACAAGTGTAGCTGATCCAGTGTCATTGTGCAGCTTTGTGTTAGAACAACATTTAGACCACACAATCACAGATGGAGGAAAGCTTTCAGCACTGCAGGTCAGATTCAGAACATCTCCCTTCCTCACAGTTGTATTCCCAATGATCTGAGCAGCCCTGTTATCTGTAAAATACATTTCAGTGATTTCAGTGGTATATTTAAGGAGAGGGCAAGTTACACCGACATGTAATAATTCAACACAAACAAATGAAGGATAAAAATGATAACAATGCGAGTTTAATAAATGCAAAGTGTAAAATGCCACAAATGTCATTAAAATGCTAATTACAATTTGGTCACCGTACAACATCATAATAGGTTTCAAAAGGCTCTTAATACATTTCCTCTTACTTCCCCTGTATAGTGCAGTCTACACTGTTTCTCTTTCTGAATAAAGTTTTACTCTACATCAATATATAAAAGATGTGGCCACTGCTAAAAATGTTCTGCTTAAAAGCAAAAAAAATGTGTACTTACAAATCACTGTGACACTGATATCCTTCTTCAGGGAATTGTCCATATATGTAACTGCACAGATGTACTGTCCGGAATGTTCTGCTGTTGCATTAGAGATGACAAGTGAAGCTAATCCATTGTCATTGTGCAGGTTTGTGTCAGAACCGAGTTTAGACCACACAATCATGGATGGAGGGAAACTTTCAACACTGCAGGTCAGATTCAGAAAATCTCCCTCCTTAACAGTTGTAACACCACTGATTGCAATTTCTTTCTTATCTGTTAGATAAAAATATACATTTTACAATCATGTTGTTTCCTTTTCAGACTCTACTGATCATCCAATAGATTTCAAATAAATAAATAGATATAAACAATAACAATAGGTTACGAAGTACCGTAATTGTCGGGCTATGAGCCGCTACTTTTTGCACAAGCTTTGAACCCTGCGGCTTTTAGTCAGGTGCGGCTTTTCTATGGATTGTCCATGATTTTTGTCATATCGTAAGACGATTTGTTTTGTTTGTTCCACTGTTGTACGGCACTATGTTGCCTGGCGGAAGGGCATGTGATCAGACCATGGATCAGACACACAGTATCGGGTTCAAGAGTGGTATGTTGGTCAGATGTCCATCCGCCAGGCAACATAGTGCCGTACAAGTAGCGCGAAAAACAAACTTCAAAGTAGCGCTGGATGACGAGCGGCGATAAACTTGCGAAAAGCAAGATATGCTCAACTCCACCGGTGGAATCTGACAGCGTGGAAAAGTGTGAAAACATCCATGATCACCAACGGATTTCGAAGGGCTGGACTGCTGCATGATGGAGACACCGCCACGGCCCTTCTGAGGGTGTTCGACTCTGACACTGCCAACGAGGATTTGTTTGGTTTTGAAAGTGACAACGAAGGAAAGAAGTTGAGAGTGGATGATGTAGCCATCCTGAGCCTGTTCGTATCCGACACTGGAGAAGAGGACTTTGGTGGTTTTAGTGCGCAGGAAGATGGTGGTGAATGACTAACTTTTCTTCTTGTTCTAGCCGTGTCACTGCACCTGAGCCTAAAAGGTAGTCCGAATCTATTTTTCTGGTGTGCTGTAGGTTATTGTTATGTACTACATTTGTTACTCATTTATGAAGCACAGTACATGTTTTGTACTTGTAATTACCGCTACTTGTACATATACCTAAAAAGTTATGCAAATATGT